AAGGGTACTGCACCACAATATAGTGCTTCATAGAGACGCATTGTTTTTACTTTAGTTTTTCTGCTGAACAAAGGGGAGAGTAGCACTTTGATCGATAGTGGAAAGATACAATGCTGAAAAAGCATTACACTGTCTTCCTCCACAATAGAAATCTATTCTTTTCTAATTGGACTTGTGGCCTTAAGAGAAGTTTTGGGATTTTATTTCAAACCCAGCATAAAAGGTGAGTACGTCCTTTTGTGTGCGCGTGTGTTACAGTGGCAGCTTTATCAGAAATCCTCTGTAATATTCCTTGCGTTAAACCCGGATCACTTTAAGCCTATACTCAGTTTTTCTAGGAGAAAAGATAAGTGATTTATTCTCCAACTCAAAATTTATGATTCAATTGAACCTGTCACAGTATAATTTCTTTTACAAGGAAAAGCCATTTGATTCCTCTGAACACTTGCTTCTGGGAATAAAGAGAAGTAATAAGCAGTAAATTACTCTGCAATGGCTGCATCTTTATAAGCTTAAATTGCTTTTCTAGTTGAGTGGAAGGAGGGAGAGCGCAGGACCTAGAGCAGAGATGTCAAACTCAAGGCCCGTGGGTGACTACCGGCCAGTTGTAGAATTATATCCAGACCTCGATAAAATATCATATGTCTATCTTAAGCCCTGCCTCACCTGCCGAGTATTTGGTGTTATTAAGTTATTCTTCCAGTGTTCCAGAGAACCCAGTGCCTGTGTGCTGCTGTCTGTGCCCCGTCAAGTTCACTCACATGCTTTTCTCTGTTATGAAGATGAACAAAAACCCACACAGGAGTCGTCTCACTGATGCACACCCTTACTCCATCTTGAGGGTTTCCACAGCAAAGAACCTAACCCCAAACATTAATAAACTGACAGCCAAGAAAAGATGCCAAACATCTGGCTCTGGCACATGTAAATAAAAGAAGAATGAAGCCTCTAAATATGTTTTCTTTTTGCACTCTATCCAATATCCTGTCTCTCCTGTTAAATAAATGTTGACCCCGTTTGGCCCTCGACATAGTCCCAGTTTTTAATTTTGGCCCTCTCTGTGATTGAGTTTGACACCACTGACCTAGAGGAATGATGAACAACGGGCTGAACCTGGGAGCTTTCTGGCACCTTTTAAAGCTGGGCTCCGACAGCAGGAGTGAGTCTTGGCAGATATTCCTCTCCCTTATCTCAAACATACACCACCTCATGTCACCTCTCTGAGATGATCTCATGAGGAAGAAGGTGCAAACAAAACAAACAAGATGGAGACTAGTGTGACAACTTGCTGAGATATAAAACAAAAGCAAAAGAAACCCTGGATTAGTAAAACACTAGTTTGTAATGCTCTGCATCACACTCACAGCAGATTGTTTTGTGGTTGCCGTTTTAAAAATCCAGTGTGTTGATCCAAATCAGCACAAGTCCCCTTAGTCAGAGCTCAGCCTTGCCCTGCCACCACTTCCTGTCTCCCTTCCTTCTCATGTTGCTTCTTGCAAACACAAGCTCTTTGCCTCCTTTGCTCTGCATTAGACTCGCACCAGCACTCACTGCTGCACGCTGCAGCCTGGACCATGTTGTTCCTCAGGAAGGAATGCAAACATGGATTGTATCATACAAACCAGGTCTTATTCATACATTCCCTTAATCCTTCTATCTCACTTTTATTCACATTGTCACCTCAACGAGCCACCACCACCACCACCCACACTCCATCCAGCTGCAACCCTTGTTTTCTCGTTCACCCTCTAGTTGTTTCCTGATTGGAATTCCAAAGCCAAGGCTAAGTGGAGACATGTCAGCCAGCCTGTCTCGTATAACAGGAGAAATATAGAAGCAGAAAAGCAATTCCAGGGCTTCCCTCACTGTGTGTGTGTGACTGCGTAGAAAAGTGTGTATTTTAAGAGACAGCTTTTTTCCTCCAAGCCAAGTGGTTCTCTATGTACTGCAATCTTTTTGCAAGCATGGTTATGGTTCCACAATATCCAAGACTTTGTGAGGGACATTGGCAAGAAAATGCACACACACATACACACAAATTGGGCTTTATATTTCTGAACGCTAACATGCATGTATGCTAGAGCATCACTGGAATGAAAAAGAATCATAATGGACATTATCTGGATTAAGACTGCATGTAATAATTTTAAAATGAAAATGACGTTAGGGATCACGTAGTAGTTACTTTTAGAGCTTATGAATATTGAAAAGTGTTTTGTCATTTTAATTTTATTTCACAAATGGAACAGAGGAGCAAATGTAGGGTTGAATAAAATGGTTATATATTTTTATGAGAGCATGCTGGTGTTTTCATAGTGGAATCAACTAATGTGCTTCCAATGACATGTCCATCTCTCTTCCATCACACCAAAATTGAGTCCAACAAAAAAAGATGGTCTCAAAATAAATTCAAATTTCATTTGGAGTGTGAAAACTTAAAAAAGAATATACGATAGTTGAAACATTTGGACCGATAGCTAGAAGTTGAGACAGGATTACACAATAGAAGAAGTAATGGTTGAAGGACGAGGACACACTTGTAGTACATTGTAGTAAAGTATTGTTCATGTTTGAAGCAAATATATGTATAATATGATCACACTTGGAGTTATTATTGTCTAGCTTATGTGAACATCACCACACGTCACACTGTGAGGGCTCAGCCAAGCAGCTACACTCACAGGAACATAAAAACTCTGAAATAGGGAGGTTGTAAAATATATCCCATGAATTCGAAGGGCTCCGCTGTCGTGAATGGCACCGGGTGGGAATGTTCCTATTAATGAGTTAGGAAATGAACAGCTTAATGGTGGGCTGACTCACAGTGCTGCAGAGTGCTTGGCTTTATTCAAGGAGACGGAGAGAGTTCTGCTCTGTTTTCATGATGAAGCAAAGGGAGAGCGACCGGACTGGATGTGTAAACTTAAACTTGTGTGTGGCCATTGATGTCTGTGCAAATTTCCGTGTTGTTTATATGTTCACATCATCTTCTCTAATTAAAAAATAACTATCTGTCGCTGTCAATCTGCCTCTAACAAGCTCAGCCTCCTCCAGGTTGCTCAGTTTGTGTTCATGCTTCGTTGCACCGCTGCTCCTCTGTTTGACATCTCGCTTCCTATCCCTCACCATCAGTAACGGTTTACAAATGAGATGTGAAGGATTAGCAAACAAAATAATAATGCTGTTGGTTTATTTTCTGTTTCTCATGAGCACGGAGAACACATGCCAGTCACTGGAGATCATTGTTATGTCACCAGAAGCCCCAAAAGTCACGGTTTGATGCAGAGAAGTAGTGAAATATGATTTTCAAGTCAAACCTTACTTCTGCCTGTCTGAATCTGTGAGAAATGACTTGATGAAGAGAACATCTTGAGTTATATTAACTTTATGGTTTTATGTAGCACAACCTGCATTGTGTTGTTAATATGTAACTGGAAACCAGTTTGTCTTGCAGGACCATGACATTACGTTTGTTACACCCTCCTCAGTTATGCTCTTATAATCTTAAGGTGCGGCCTCCTCTCCAAACAAACCACAGCAGACACTGAACATTTGGTATGTTTTGATTTATTTACTTGGCTGTGTGATTATTTGCCTTGTTTGTGGGAGGGTGCACTGCCATCAGATTGTCCTATCTGGTTTGTCAGGTTAACCGCTGTCACACTTCTCCACACAGTCAGGGAGGTAATTACATATATCTCACAGAGCTGTATTTTATGCACTTGTGGTGTCTTTGCCGCTTCACTCAGTTATTCTGGCATCGTTTAACTCATAAACACTGAGCTAAGCAGATACATTTATATCTCACAGTGGTCCAGCAAACACTATTGCTTTTATTGAATAACAATAATATGAATTTGCTAAATTATTTAATCATCATAGTTGGTTGTTCAGTTCATGGTGCCTCAAGGTGTTGTAGTGAATAGAAAGAAGATGTCACAGTGGCCTATGAATAAAAATCACAGTCTAATGTCAAATGTAAAACAGTCTGTTTCAAAGCTGACAGACAATAGCTCTTAAGTTTTTAATGCCCCCATCTCAACACAGTCTTTTTCCCCCATTATGTGATATTGCGATCTGGAAATAAATTGATCTGAAATCAGGGGATGGAAAGAGAACACTGCTGCCACTGCACAGAAATCAGTGTTTTCTCCACCACATGTCTCGGTGCAAGAACACCACAAAGCCAGTACCAGAGCAAACATGTTCAACTCACTCAATCCAGATAAAGCCTTGCAAGTGCAAAGAGAGTGGGTATGAGTTGTATTGTGAAATAGCAGCAGTCCAATGAGCATGAGAGTGGAGGAGGTTTTAACTGAGATTAGAAGTTGTTGAGGCCTACGTTTGCATATTTGATAATCTGTTTATTCAGAGTAGTTTGAAGGTGAAAAGTTGAAGGTCACATCACAATAATTGATTGTTGATGCTGAGTCTCGGGTCAGCACTGTATTTTAAAAAGCTTCGGGCCGTGGGTTATGTTTTGGAAATTCAGCAGACAAGGTAATTGCTAACTTCTGACATATTCTGAGAGTCAGACTTAAATTTAGAGGAATAAAAAACAAAACATTATTTGCATATTCTCTCTGTAAACTGAAAGTGAATGTGGGTTTGCAGGGACGGAGCCACAGTGGTTGTCTTCAGTTTCTTTCCATTTCTTTCCCAGTGAGGGTTTGTCTCGTGTGGAAGTGAATCAGTCATTCTTCATTGGAAAATGATTACTGTTATCACACAGAGATTAAAGATGCACTCACCAGGGTGCGTAATGGAGGTTTTATTCCTTCGCCTTTTGTGCAGCTCTCTGTCTTTTGCCTGTTTTCTTATAGACAGCAGTGGATTGTGTGTTTGCACGCCCTTGTAGGTTTTTGTGCGGGTGCATGATGGTTTCATTACTATTTAGGTCAGCACACATATCTTTAATTGCACCTTGACGTGACCTGAACATGATCCTTAAGTGCCGTCACACTGATGTCCGCCTGACTTTTGACCTCATGTGTTCTCAGGTACTGAGGCTTGTCCCGCTCTGACACGGTGACTCCAGACAGACTGGCTGAGAGACGCTGAAAAAAGAAGTGGGCCGATAAAGAGATAGGAGGACAGAAGGAGGTGAGTGAAATGAATAACGGATTCCATTCTTATCTCTCTATCTATATATCTTTGTACACTATATATGGCGCTGTGTCTCGCTCCATCTGTGGAGAGTTGCTGCCGGGCTTGCTGGCTCATTGTTTACAGTGCTGCCCAGTCAGCCAGAAAACAAGAGCGGCGCTGTAGCGGGGAAGGTTGGTATACACACCCCTGCTGAGCCCACTACTGAGTGTGTGTGTGTGTGCCGGCGTGTTTGTATGCGCCCTCAAATCAGGGTCTTTTCTTTACTCAGAGAGTGAAAGATGGGAGAGGAGTCCGTTGTCGAGGGCAGTATCAATGTACTGAGCAGCAAGATTGCCATCACAGATCTGCCTTGTTTTCCCAAATGGAAAAAAAATACCTTCAAGCTTGAACGTGGTGCCACATGTAAAACTAGAATAGTATTCAGTAGATTGTAGCCACCAAGGCCCAACAGTCCAGTTATATTCAATCAAACCTAAAATATGATCCTTCCATCACTCATGATCTCTCAATCAAAACAACAACAAAAGACCTAGTGTGATGGAAAAATACAAAATCTGAAAATCTTCGTGACGCAACTCACTGGCAATGGAAAATGGCAAATCCATCCATCTCACAATGGATCTGCACCAAACTGTTATGGGTTCTTCCTTGGCCCGTGCCCCATGTTGAAAATTCATTCAGTAGTTTTTGTGTAATCCTGCTGAAAAATAAACAAACAAACAGAAATCGAGAGAAAGTCAACGGACGGTGCAAAGAGGTAATAACAGATGGCACTCACTCCGATTTGTGTGCAAGTTTTAATCTTCTATCTCTCTCTGTTTACATATCTCAAGCTACGATTACTCATGTATCTGCACCTTTTCTCTAAGTATGTGAATAAACAAAAGCCCCACGTTCATCGTGTGCTCTCGTCTCAAGTATTACAGATGCAGGCTGAGGATACTTTTAGGTTAAACACATTATCAGTTCACAGTTGGTTAGGGCCTGTGGTCCTGGTGGTAGCAGTTCACTCACTGCTTTGATAAGCTGCCTACTTATGTATGTAAAGTAGCTTTTATGCAATTCACCCAGTGGCCTTCACCACTATCGTCTCAGTGGGAGCGTTTTGGGGTCTGTGTGTGTCTGTGTGTGTCTGTGTGTGTCTGTGTGTGTGTGTAGAAAATTGATTGCTGCAGAGGTTTTTGTGAATGAGACAGAACCAGGCAGAAAAGCTGCTCTGGCTGTGGTGGTCAGTTTGCTGGTGTTAAGTCAGTTTAGTTTGTATTAGTGCTGCTGAAAGGATTAGTAGATTAACCACAGGAAATCCATACGAGCATTAATAGTTCGAATATCGATCGCCAACTTCAACATGCTACCATTGATTTTGCAAAATGAATAAACCCTATAAAGTGTAAAGATTTGTTGAAAATGTATTTGTAGATTTGTAAAATTTCTAGAATTTTCCAGACAAAATGAGCAAATATTTCAAATTTCATCCTTTTTAGAGTAAGAGGTCAAACAATGTTTTCTGGATAGTTCACATAAGTTAAAACTTGTGGAAGAAATATTCTCACTTTCACATAGAATCTCAAACATTTACTGAAACTGACTAGTGCACACACACACACACACACACACACACACACACACACACACACACAGTGAAGATGATCCGTGTCCATCGTACCCCTGTGCCTTCTCCACTCTATTTGTTTACAGTTTTCTCTGCTCATTTCTTCATCTCACTCGGCCTTCGCTCACTCTAAACGTCTTTATTTCGTTCTGTCTCATTTTTTGTTTTCTTCCCATGTGTCATACCTTCTCTCTCTCCTGCCCCTTAGCCGCAGTGTCCTTGGGAAGGCGGTGACTTTGTTGGTGAGCGCAGCCGAGCGCATCACTCTCTCTTACGCTCTATGTCTCTGTTGCTCACACACTCTCTCACTGACACCCACTCAACCCTCTTCAAATACACACACACACACACACCATGGCTAACGAGACTATTCCTTTAGTCTCCATAAATAATTCATCAGCAGTAACATTGGCTGTACATTATGCAAATATTGACAAATCTATTGCAGAGAAAAATTGAGACAGTCGTTTCCTGTGTTGAGCACAACTTTTGCCCACTTGCTGTTTTCAGGAATATATAATAAATCATCAACAAACAGCTGATACAAGTAAATTATACTTAAGTAAGGGCACAGTAGATGTTTTATAAGAAATAAAGTTGTGTTATTGTTACCTCCAACAAGGAGGTTATGTTTTCATTTGTTTGTCGTATGTCGTACGGGTCAGAAAAGAACCCATTAAACTTTGGTGCAGATCCGATTCAGGGGGCAGATTCACAATTTTAGGATTTTGAGGATAATTCATGGCTCTTAATTTTAAAATAAATAAAAATGTTTAGGGGTTTTATATTTATGGGTGTGTGCAATTTGGTGCAGATCCAAATAAAAATCTGATTTAAATGTGGTTTCATAACGGGACTGTTCCTCTGACCTCACCTCTGTTTGTTTGAAGTGTTTCAGAAAACATGATTTAATACGTAAGTACAGTTACTCTTACTCTGAGTTTGTTACCGAGTTTGGACAAATTGCCTTCAGGTGATACTGTCGTCAGGCTGCCAGCATGGAAACGTGATCGCCCTGTGCCTTCCTCCTCATTAAAGGTGCCCTCAACTAATCTTGGATCATGACAGCCCATTGTCACAGTTTTCCGTAGCTTTTGAAATATAGATGGAGTCTGATTGTCTGCTTGTAAGATGAGATGTTATAGTCTGTCGATGTTGTTTGTTCTCGCTGGTTTCTGTTTTCCATCGGAGTTCATGGAGTGCGTATTGGGTCACTACTTTTTCCTCCCACCTTACGTCACCTTATCTTTTCTGTTGGAGATCAAGTGTCTTGCGATTAGCGAGTTAAAGGGCTGTGTATTGCAGCTGTGGTTTTGTACTTTAATATACATTTTTGATATACCTATGCGTTGATATAATATTAAGTTATAATCTGCATAATTTCAATCCCTGAAGTGCTGTTTAATCTTCAATCATCAAAATACATTTATCTTTATTTACATACTTCATAACAGTATCTCAACACTGCCGTGTTTCTCTCTTTCTATGTGCGTATCTCTCTCGCTCTTCCTCGTGTTTGTCCCACGTTCGGCTGAAAATGCTTCTGTAGCCATGGCGACCAATCCCATGGGGAAAAGTTGAGGCTGAATCCCTTTCTCTCTTCGCTTTCTTTTACCTCCACTGTCTCATGCCTGGTTTCAGACTACTGCTTTACTCACACGCACACAGAAACCCATCAGAATGAGGAAGTGATGTTGAGCTGATGTCTGTTTGGTTCTTTTGTTTTGAGGTACTGATTAAAAGAAGTGACCTAATTACAGAGACACACCGAGGACACAGCTGAGGATGAAATTCTCTCTCTCTCTCTTTCCTGTTTTCTACTCTTTTCCTTTTTGTTTGTTTTCTTGCTTGTTAGTGACTAACACTGTGACAGTTGAACCTTTGGCCATTTAGGAAACAGAATTCAGAAGATGTTGTTTGAAAAAAAACAAAAAAACAAACCCCATTACTGTTGAACACTGCAGCTACAGAGGGGTGTCATAGTCTAACTTTACTTTTAGTGTGTGAGTACGTACCGCCTTGTTAGTTGTTTCAGCAAGAAGCCCACAACAGCATATGTTTGAGGAATCCGGTAATTATGTCTGCAGCAAAGTAGGAACCCAGGTGATGTTGTCACAGATAGAGAAGAGATAAAGCATGGCCATGATTGTTTGTTATCCTTAACTAAGTGTTTATTTTTCTACCATGAACTCTTCACGGTGTGTAGGATTTGAAGTTTCATATTGCAACCAGCTTAATGACCCAGACTTACCCTCCCCTTCCAAGCGTGTAGGAGAACCCACAGTGGCCCTCAGGTAATATAAAAACGTGAAAGGCCCTCTCTAGTGCCAGTGGGTTTTGTTCATTCTGGGCAACCATTGAAACATGGCAATGCAACATAGTGATCCCTGTGGAAGAGGATCTGCTGCTAATACAGATATGAAGGGCTTATGATAAGGTAACAATAAGACAGATGTTCTTATTTTCATGTGATTATACATTGATAAAATCATAAATATAAATATCAATATTCTGATGACAGATGCCCCTAAATCCTTCAAAACAGAGCTGTCTTAAAGTTTTCCCTAAGTCAAGCAAAATCTGTATTTTAGCCCAAACCAAAAACTTTCCAATACTATTTTTAAGATATAGATTTTCATCCTGGTCGATACTGAATAAATACTGAATAAATGTTTATGTGCTTTCTTTGCATTTCTCCCATAACTACAGCTTCCTATCTGAAAAAAAAACATGCAGTAAAGCAAAGCTCAGGTATAAAATAGAGAGAGACTTTTCTCTTTTAGCTTAATCTGTGTTTTTAATGGAGGCAGCTGGGGGCGAGACACAGTCTGGAAGACAAACTGGAAATGGGGAATTTAATTTTGTGAACTCATAATAATTTAATTGTTAATTATTAAAGTGTGAAGTGTGAAAAGGACAACTGTAATGAAAGACCTAAGTCTCTTAGGCTCGACACTACATCTCTTCATCCCTTCCTTCTGTTTCTACTCCTTTATCCCCCTAACACCCTTCTTCCTTCCTCCATTTCCTTTCCCCCTTCATCCTTTTCTGTTCCCCATTGTCTTTAGCGTTTTCCTTCACTGGTTTATATTCCTCATTGTTTCACCATGCCCTCTCCCTCTTATTGACTATGCATACCTTAGATTTTGACTCCATTGTTCTTCTAATCTATTTCATGTTCCACCCCCACACAAACATATCATATTGCACTTACGTCTTTCTCTTCCCCAAAAACTGTAAATCATGTCACACTTGAATATGATACCTGCATAAATATTTAGCAACTGAAACGACACCACGGCAATATCTGAATCATCAGGAAAAGTAATGGCATATTTGATGACATAACATGGACAACTATTTGTCTTGATTTAATATCATT